CCGAAGGAAAGAAAGAGGAAATATTCCAGCACTATGAGGAGACAGTATTGCTTGATAATTAGTGGAGTATGACGTTGGTAAGGCCTAAGTATTCTCAAACTACTTTAGTAATATATATACCATAGAAACACCCTTCTCGGCAGTCCATACAAATCCCCTCACACAACCATTGGACAGCGTGACCATTAAAGAACTCAATGTCTTTGATCCGCTTGACGTAGGTGAATCCACGTGGTCCGATGAACTGCATCCTAGGTTGCTGAAGGAATCAGCTAACTTTGTTGCGAACTCTTTAAGTAAATGCTTCAATCTATCCGTAACCCAGGGTTGTTTACCAAAGGACTGGAAGAACGCCAAAATAAGCCCTGTCTTTAAAACAGGTACGAAACATAAACCTGGGAATTATTGACCCGTTAGGCTAACTAGTGTGGCTAATAAAATTATTTAGATTATTCGGAAGGGGCTGTTTAAGCATCTCGAGTAAAACCGGATCCTTTCGAAAAAACAGCATGTATTTAGAATAGGTTATTCTTGTCTAACTAAATCATTGATGACTCGTGAAAGCTGGTGCGCTCTTAAGGACCGAAAGTTACCGGTGGACGTAGCCTACTTTGACTTCAGCAAAGCTTTTGGCGACGTTCCGCACAACCGGCTGTTATATAAGATAAGAAATGTTGGGGTTGAAGTCATTCTATCGATATGGATAAAAGACTTCCTAGTTGGGCGCCAACCCAAGGTTGTCTAGCTGGAACACTGTGCTTATTGAATATCCCAACACCTCCCTTTTTTGAAGATCCGGAGTTGATTTCTGGATTTTAAAATTTTCCGCGTCCAACCTCCCCCGCGAAATAACGTTGGGTCCTAATAGACTCAAATTACAATTAACTTGGCTGTTTTTAGAACATATTGAACAGGGAATCCATTAAAACTGACTAGATAGTGAGGATAAACGCCATTTAATTCAAGGTCATCAAAGTTCCATTCTTCTAAAATTTTGTGGCCATATTTATGGGCAACACTATTAGATAATGGATAACCATGATAATCAGCGTCTAACAAAACTGCACCACGTTCTTGGTTATTGTCTAATGCGTGATATATATATTTCCTGGCAAAACATGGGAATCTCGATAATTAGATTCGTCAAAAACTTCTGTTGCAGAATGATGAGGACCATTTGGAACAGCTGGATTCAGTATACTGCCCCACTTGTTTTCTGTTTCTTTGTGGGCGGGTACTGCAATAAATTTATGAGCATTTAATGAGAAATCGTCCTCCTGTGAGCTGGACAATCCAGTGTTTGTACATAACGTTTCGAACGCAATGAGATTTGAAACCATGACAGGGCATGTCTGTGAAATGGACAATTCTGGATCTCTGTGCGCAGCACGAATGACCGCTTCGCTCACATTACTGCTCGTCCAGGATTCATAGAGGCTTTTATATACACGTTCATATGTTCTGCAGTCGTTGTCCAGCTCAGTATGCAAATGAGGAATTAATTCATCATCTTCTGTCACATTTCCGAAACATGGGAGATTTAGCAGTCGTGTGCGTAAATTGTCCGAAATATTCAACTGGTTATTTTTGAAACGCTTCTTCCGTCGGTCAAGTAGCAACTGTAATTGGTCGGGAGAGGTGACCATTTTTTGAGTCAGCACAGTAATGAGAAATAGCGTATGATTAATTAACAACCAATGTCTCCCAAGGACACTGATGATAAATCTGGATGCTGATTGGCCAAATTAATTAGGCTGAATCTCGTCTAATTACAGGGTTCAAAGTTTTCTCTACCCCGTCGCCAATTGTTGTGTTTTGTGGACTGCAGATTAGAGCGAAGCAAATTATCGATCGGATCAATGATACGTAAAACACGTAAGAACGGCCTACAGTTCTGATCGTTCACGCTTCCCTGTCTAGCCCAGCTAGTTGAGTCCAGAACGAAAGTCTCAGCCTCTGGGATATGAAGCATTATATTTAAGACAGCTGCCGATAAATACTTTCAAGTGTATTGTGATGCAAATCAGTCATCAAGGTACAGATAGATACATGGTGAATAACACTGATCTACCTGTTGTCCAGACACACAATGACCTAGGAGTCTTCGGTAGCCAAGGCCCAAGGAATACTGCACACTGCCGCGCAATGGCCGCAAAAGGTTTTAGAACGTTATGGTCAATACGTAGGGCTTTTCGTCATGTCGACGTTAAAGTGTTTCTGACTTTGTATACAGTGTTCGTACGTCTTAAACTTGAGTATTGCATCCAAGTGGCCAGCTCTTGCTTAAAAAAGGTCAGTGAGCTTTTGAAAAAGGTCCAGTGAACATCAATAAAGCTAATTTCCGGAATAGCGAAGCTCCCGTATGATGCTTGACTGGGCAAGCTTAACCTATTCCCGTTGTCTTATCATAGAACTAAAGGCGAATTGATTACAGTTTTCAAGTTGCTTAGTGATAAGTTTGCACTTGATAGGCTATCATTTTTGTTGTTTTCCAAAACAGAGAATTTACGAGGACATTCCAGAAAGCTTCACAAACCCAGAACAATTTGTTTGTCAGCTTTCCACTGACTTTCCCATCAATTATTCAACGAGTGGAATTCATTTCCTCAACACGCGGTTCAGCCTTACTTTATCAACTCTTTCAAAAAATGTTTGATCAAAGAAAGACTATAATTGCCTGGACTAATACAGGCCATCAATCCTACTGACCTTTCAAAACTGAAATTGATTAGGTTGACGTGACAACGTTAATTTCAAAACTACCAGTCAAATATGAGAATGGATTCTGATTATGTATATCCTATCCACGCAAATGGTTATCGACTTAATCCGAGTTAATAAATAACGGAATTAAATAAGCCAAATACAAGAATGAGTTTTTGAATACGTATATTTTATGCAATCATTGATTTGAACAGACAATCTGGGAGGTGAGACATAATTATGTTTCCCTTTAAAGGGAAGAACGAAGCAGATTAAAGAAGGCATAAAATCCAACTGGATTCAATCAATACTTATAGTCAAATAGAAAATAAACAACAGACATGTAGTAGGTAGGATGAGATGTGAGTGCACACGCTCATGTAAAAACAACCAGAATAAACAGGGCAGTAGCTGACAAGGTCAAAATGTGGTTCATGAATAATGAATAGATTGGCTTGTCGAGAAGCTAGAATAAACTATGTTTAGGTTGAACATGACACGACGTAACACTATCGACCACAATAGTATGACATACTGATTATCGCTCACAAATACACTGTTGCTTACACACACACTTTTGTTCTCAATTACCCGGTGCTATGATAAAAGAGCTCTAATATGATTGCTACCTACGTCTGCATATTACGGTGTTATTCTCATTATATGCTTTGTCTGAATATACATTTCTAACTACAACATAATTGTGGTTGGAATTATCAACTACTATCAACTTTTAGACCGCAATAAAGTCAAACACTTAGATTCCTGACCATTTAAGTAACGTCCTGTATATTTGTCTTGTGTGTATATGTTATGTTTAATATATTCATACATTAATTATTGGATGTAAGGGCTGAGACATTATTTAGGAAATTGATGTATTCTTGGTACAACATAGGACCATTTTAATAATCAATATAAAAGGCTTTATGTACTTTGTGAGATTTTCTAGATTAGCAATTCACGTACCTTTATGGTTATACGCAGGACATTAAGGAATGACGATAAATATGTTGATGAGGTTGTGAATCTTCATCGACTGAGATGATTGGACCACGTGTTACGTATGCCTGAACACCATCTACCATGACGCGCATTGCTGACTAGTGTCGGAAATGGTTGGAAGAAAGTTAGGTAAGGCCAAACCAAAACGTGGCATTAGTGCTTCAGGTCACTAACTTGTAGTCTAAGCCATGTTGGTAGATGCAAACTACTTGGTTGTGGTCCGCGTGACTATCGTAACCAATGGTTGGAGACTCTGAGTGACATGGCGCAGAATCGATCACTGTGACTTAGGTGTATACACTCACTGTCTACCCTTAAACCGTGAGGTTAAAAAAGTTTAAAACCTTTGTTTCTACGAACTAACTCCTACTTCTTGTACTATACCCTTATAAACAGTCGTTCTTTTATTCATTACTACCATTGCAGTGACTGTTATAAGTTGTGGTCTGTGTGTCCTGTTGATGGATAACGTGGTGATACCGCCAATTAGAGAACAGTGATTTATCAACCGGACCAATGACGCATGAAACCAGTACGAGCATCCTAGAGTCCTTATCGGTGCTGTCAATTATCATGCGTATTGAAGCTAACTGTCTTGCTGCTTTTCTGACAAAGTTAAGTGAAGAGGTCACTGACTAAAGACTAGACGCTAACTATCAAAATAGACGAAACCTACGATTTGGACACAGATTACGTACTTAACACAGTCGGCAATGATTTTCAAGAAGAAAACGCTAACAACACAGCTTCTTACAAACACAGCAAGAAGACAGAAAGAACTTATATTCATTACAAATCTATTACAAACTATTTTATCAACAAACGACTTTAGTGCAGTAAGCCGAACACATTTAACTCACAATACAAACTCAGCTACGCATATCTAAGTGTTCGGGTTCATTCTAACCACTTATCAACTATTTGGATCTTTCAAATTTGTTAAAAATTAAATTTAGGTGACTAAATTAAGAATATCTAGACCTAATGCAATGATATATCTTTCATAATGATTCATCAATTCAAACATTTTATTGTTTAAAGTGAGTTCGTTTACATTTTCATTTTATTTCACCTCATACTTATCTACGACGATAAGATAACTTTTGTGATGTTATATGAAGTACTCTTCTTGGTTTCATCTCATAATATAGGTACGTGTGTGGAGACATGACTGACAAGCCTATTTTGTAAATAGTTTTCAGTGTTATTTCTATTTGTTTTGTCAATTTTTCACTGTATGTACATTTATCATTAAATGACCGTACGTGTTGTTTTAGTCAACGACCTTGAACACTTTTTCCGCCGTAATTCAAACATAGCGTGACATTTATTTACTGGCTAACAAATACATTGCTACTCACACATCCCTCGTTCTATTTCCATTTGTGATTGGATTAGCTGAATTCTAAATCAAATATTATCATTATTTATAGACTGTAATTGGAATACATCACATTCTACGTGGGATTATATCACCAGAGAGTTCGCCAACCTGCTTGGAATTATCAAACATTTATAATTGTGGATTTACATTACCGGACCGAATCAGAACACGCAGCGTTTGGTCAATTTAAGTAACGCCCCTAATTTTTATTGTATTTGTAACAATTGACTGTATATATATTAATATTACTATTGATCCTTAGTAACTTTGTTTATAATTTTTGCGTTCATATTTGTCTGGTCCACCACAATTATTTGGTGAGCCTCGATTATTTTTTTATAGACATTTACTATATATATATCTACATAATTTTTTCAATATTATTAATCGGCACGACACCATATTTTTGTTTTTGTCATTATGAACTCTCCGGGTAAACTTATTGATATTGATAGTTCTCCGATCAACCTTCTAAACTCTCCACAACCAGAGGATAATGTTTTAAACTCAATCAACGCTATCTCGGAACTGAGATTACCAACGTACGGTGTTAAAAATCCCAGGATCTGGTTTGCACAGGTTGAGGCATTATTTTTGTCTAGAGGTATACGCTCGCAAGCGACAAAATATGCATACATTGTTGGAGCATTACCCATAGAGGTGGCAGCAGAAGTCGGAGACCTAATAGATAACGTACCAGAAACAGACCCCTATGACAAAATAAAAGCCGCAGTAATCCACCGTACTTCGCAGTCTGATGAAAAACGCTTACAGCAACTACTCACCGCATGCGAGTTAGGTGACAAAAGACCTTCACAGTTGCTTAGACATATGAGACAACTAGCAGGTTCATGCAAGTTAGACGAAGCATTACTTAAGCAGATGTGGTCACAAAGGTTACCTTATAGCGTCAGACAAATTCTCAGCGTATCAGGAGCCTCTGTCAGTCTTGACGATTTAGCAGACATGGCCGATAGGATGATAGAAATATATCCCGATAGTCGGGGAATTTACGCAGTACAACCCGCCAGTAGAGATGCCATGAACCCTATCCTTGACATGCAGCATCAAATGGCACACTTGACACGTCAGTTAGCATCACTGCAGGCGACTGTCTCCACCATCCGTTCTCGATGCCCCAGATCTAGGTCCAGAAGGAGATCATTATCCAGACATCGTCATAGGTCACCTAAGCGGGCAGCTGGGATGTGTTGGTATCATTCGAATTATGGCGAGAAAGCACGTCGTTGCACAAAACCGTGCAACTTCACTACAAGCAAGTCAGACCATCAGGGAAACGAAGTGGCCAGGCAGTAATAGCGGCAGCTGTTACTGGCCAACATGTCAGCCGCCTTTTCCACATCAGGGATCGTATTTCTGGCTCAGACTTTTTAGTCGATACGGGAGCAGAAATCAGCATCATCCCACTTTATCTCTCACGCAGACAACATGCGTTGAGCACAAAATTGTCCTTGGTAGCGGCTAACGAATCAGTTATCAAAACTTATGGAGAACAATCTCTTATATTAGATCTCGGGCTCCGTAGACGATTCACATGGGTATTCATAGTTGCTGAAGTCAAACGACCCATTCTCGGAGCCGATTTTCTTAGTGCGTACAACCTTTTAGTTGATATGACTAACAAGAGATTAGTCGACACAAACACACGTTTACAAGTAAATTGTACACTTTCCAACGACAACGAGATCCATGGTGTTCGTATAATGAAACCTGAGAACAATATCTTCAACGACATCCTAAAAGAATACCAGTGCATTATGAAATCAGATTACCAGAAGGAAGGTAACCCACAACTGGTACAACACCATATCACTACCACCGGACCACCTATTAGCGCCAGGGCGAGAAGATTACCACCAAGCAAGTTGCAAGTAGCGAAAAGAGAATTCGAACACATGATGCAACTTGGAATTATCAGACCATCCAACAGCCCCTGGGCCTCGCCGTTACACATGGTACCTAAGAAGGACCAAGATTGGCGTCCGTGTGGTGACTATCGACGATTAAACAACCAAACCACCCCGGATAGGTATCCTATTCCACATATACATGACTTCGCGTTAAATTTACATGGTAAATGCATCTTCTCTAAACTCGACCTCGTGCGTGCATACCATCAAATTCCAATGGCACCGGAAGACATTGAGAAAACAGCCATAATAACACCTTTTGGTTTGTTTGAGTTTCTAAGGATGCCATTCGGATTGAAAAACGCTGCACAGACTTTCCAGCGATTCATGGATGATGTCACAAGAGGTTTAGACTTCGTATTTGCCTACATCGATGATGTTCTCATTGCAAGCTCATCTTTAGAAGAGCATATTCAACATGTCCAGACCCTTTTTGAACGTTTTAAAAAACATGGCGTCGTCATCAATCCTTCGAAATGCATATTTGCAGTTTCAGCCTTAGAGTTTTTAGGACATTACATTGACTCTCAAGGCATCAAACCACTCCCAATGAAGGTTGAAGCGATTACCAATTATCCCGAACCAACCTCGGTGAAGTCATTACGACGTTTCCTTGGTATGTGTAATTTTTATCGCCGTTTCTTACCACATTGTGCTGAAGTATTACAGCCATTAACCGATCTGCTAAAAACCGACAAAAAAAGTACGAAGAAAGAGAAGACTCAGACATTCAACCTACCCCCTGACGCCAAAACAGCATTCGAGAAAGCAAAGTTGATGATATCTAATGCTACTATGCTACAGCACCTAAACACCGATCCCAGAACAAACCTTATCCTCTGCACTGACGCCTCCCAAAAAGCAGTAGGAGCAGTATTACAACAATGCGTTAACGACAAGATTACTCCTATAGCTTTCTTTTCCAAACGATTATCACCAACTCAAGAGCGCTATAGCACCTTCGGACGCGAACTTCTGGCTATGTACTTAGCTGTAAAACACTTCAACTTCCTGCTTCAGGGACGTGATTTCACCATTATGACTGATCATAAACCACTTTGCTATTCTTTCAACACGTCCTACGACAGACATTCTCCACGGGAAGCCAGACAACTGGATTACATTTCTCAATTCACTACGGACATCCAGTTCATCAAAGGCTCCTCCAACATTGTCGCTGACGCTCTATCTAGAAAGGAAATCAACATGATGGTACACAACCACAATATCAGCCTTGAAGCTTTAGCTAAACTACAAGTGGACGATGCAGATTTGAAGACCTGCGAAGAGAAGTCTTACTTGAACCTTAAACCTGTACCCATTCCTTTCTCAGATGCATCTATTATTTGCGACACTTCAACGGGTAACAATCGCCCCTTTGTGCCACAACCCTATCGACGGAAAATATTTCAACAGCTACATGGACTGTCGCATCCAGGCATCAGGGCTACTACGAAGCTTATCACAGAACGCTTTGTTTGGCCAAAAATCAATTCGGATGTTAAACGTTGGACACGTAACTGCCTCCAGTGCCAACGCAGCAAAATCCAAAAACACACTATCAGCCCGATCGGGGAATTCCCTATTCCCGACAAACGTTTCCAGCATATTCATTTGGACTTAGTTGGGCCCCTGCCTCCGTCAAACTCCTTCACCCATATCCTCACAGCAGTGGACCGGTTCACAAGATGGGCCATAGCATGCCCTATTGCGGATACTTCCGCAGAAACAGTAGCCAGTGTATTTCTTGACCGTTGGGTAGCAAATTACGGTGTACCCTCTATCGTCACTACCGATCGCGGTCCCCAATTTCAATCTGTCCTTTTCCAGGAGTTTACTAAACTTCTAGGGGTCAACCATATTAAAACCACAGCTTACCACCCAGCAGCTAATGGCATGGTTGAAAGATTCCATCGCCAATTAAAAAGCTCACTGATGGCGCAAACTGACTCATCAAAGTGGAGCGATGCCTTACCGCTTGTACTCCTTGGTATTCGTTCAACTATTAAGGAAGACATTGGATGTACAGCCGCCGAGTTAGTCTATGGCACAACCCTAACGTTACCCGGTCAACTAGTCAACTATGAACCTACAACGCACGGGGATTCTACTCACTTCGCAAGCCGCCTATTACAAATGATGCAGAACATTAAAGCAATACCACCTCGAGAATACAACAACCGAGCCCACCTCGATAAACATTTAGAAACATGCAAGTTTGTCTTTGTTCGAGTAGATGCTGTCAAAAAACCATTGAAACAACCATACGAAGGTCCATATAAAGTAATTAAACGCACACAAAAATACTTCATCATCAGCAGAGATGGCAAAAAGCAGACTATTTCTATAGACAGAATCAAACCTGCTTTCTATGAATCTACTCAAGTCAAAGAAGACAACGCCGTTGACAATCAACCCCTTTCACCAGTGACTGAAAAGCCGGGGGAGGATAAAAAACTTAATACTAAACCTTCTTGTTTAACACGCTCGGGCAGACCTATAAACAAACCCAAACGTTATGTCCATTTCGTCAATTAAAAAAAAAATAACAATAATAATTTTTTTTCCTTTTTTTTACAGTGTACATAATTAACCATATTTTTCCCCACAATTATTCGTTTTGTCACATTTTTTTTCATAGAAAAAAAAATTTGTTACAATAATAAACGAGTAAACTATTTAATTATTCATTTGTTGTACACACACACACACACAAAAATAAGCAGTTCATTTTTTTTTGGGTTCAGTAACAGTTCTTTACATTAGTGTCATTGTTAGCAAGCCAAGCTTTTAAATGACGGTATTCTCATTACTTTTGTTTGTCATGCTATGCCATATCATCACTATTTTTTACGCAATAGTACACTGTATATTATGAACGTACATGTCATACGCAACTCCACATTTGTTTATTGGTTATTATTGTAAATATTAATTTTTTTTTGTATAAAATTTTTTATTATAGTTATTGTAACCAGTGTTACCTCCGGACACTCTGGGGGGAGCTATGTGGAGACATGACTGACAAGCCTATTTTGTAAATAGTTTTCAGTGTTATTTCTATTTGTTTTGTCAATTTTTCACTGTATGTACATTTATCATTAAATGACCGTACGTGTTGTTTTAGTCAACGACCTTGAACACTTTTTCCGCCGTAATTCAAACATAGCGTGACATTTATTTACTGGCTAACAAATACATTGCTACTCACACATCCCTCGTTCTATTTCCATTTGTGATTGGATTAGCTGAATTCTAAATCAAATATTATCATTATTTATAGACTGTAATTGGAATACATCACATTCTACGTGGGATTATATCACCAGAGAGTTCGCCAACCTGCTTGGAATTATCAAACATTTATAATTGTGGATTTACATTACCGGACCGAATCAGAACACGCAGCGTTTGGTCAATTTAAGTAACGTCCCTAATTTTTATTGTATTTGTAACAATTGACTGTATATATATTAATATTACTATTGATCCTTAGTAACTTTGTTTATAATTTTTGCGTTCATATTTGTCTGGTCCACCACACGTGAATGCGCTTAATTTTACTACGTATTTTGTCCAAGTTAACGCTATTTATAATGTTTCGGACCATTAGTTACGCTATTGGCTTTATATATTAATCCAATCGCCCACTAACATTTATTCTCATGGTTACTACTGTCTCTTATTCGATAATGTTGATGTTTTCATGAGCCTCTACAAATCTAAGTAACAACTTGCTAAGTCACTTAGCAGTCTAGTATCGCAAGCACGAACATGAAACATTAGTCGATGCAGTCTACTAAAAATTCTATACGTTTAAATTAGCTTAGTAACAACTTGCTCAATGCTGACGATGGTTTGTAATGATATTATAGATGCGGGTTAGTAGCCATGCTCCCACTAATTATAAATCATATTCTCAATGGTATACCTAATTTAGCAATAAATTTATGCAAGAATATATTATTAGTAATACGCAAAACATTTGAATCTGTTATTTTTTGACACAAGTAGCAAAAAACTTCTTATCTGAAATCACTAGGACGTATTTGAATCTATATGGATCTGTTTGAGTGATTGCAATTAAAGTCGTTTTAGTGAGAAATCAAACCTAAAAACGAAGGCAAATAACGAGTAGATGTTCTATTTTAGAAGGTATATCCTAAGGTGACTAATTTATTAAAGGTTGAATAGACATAACTGTTGTATTGAGGTCATTACATGCGATATAGATGCCTCCATTATTCAGTTATCAATTAGTTCTTAAAGACAAGGCATATCGATTATGTTTCAATTACAATTTAAATGCAGG